ACCTCACCCACCATATTATCTTGGACAACCTCTACTACATTATCCCTTAAACTCAAAACACTATCACCCTGAACTTCTTCAGCTAGTACTAAACTTAAATATTTTTCAAACTGTGACAATATTCCCTATAAACACACATTAAAGTAGAAGCAAAATCATAAAGCAGACATAATTCAAAGAATCTTAAAATAATAAATCCTGACCATATATATTAAGAAAGGTCCAACTCCCACATTGATAAAGAGCCTCTAACCTCACTTGTCGTTCTTCGATTCAACAACAAATAGTTAAAGATAAAAATAAACCCTAGATCAAACAAAAATATACATTTTTCATTAAAAAAACTAAAAAATAATCTAAAACGTACCTTGTTTTCTTATGAAATACCCATGTAGTGTCCCTTTTCCTCATGAAACAAGGACTGAGGTGATGAGCTGGAACCCTTAATTTGAGATCCACTTGTTGTTCTCCTTAGCTCAAGAGCATATTCCATCTTCAATAGTGAAACTTTGGATTATAATGGAAGATAATTCTAAATCTAGATAAAAGGAAAGGAGGAATCCATTATAAATTCCTACTTAATAGAGATTTTGAAATTGAGAAATTAAAAAAAGAGGAAGAAGAACGCTAGAAGGAAAAAGAGACGAGAGAATGATTTGGAGAACTAATGATAAAATAAAAAGTTCAATATCATATTTTTAGCGGGTCGGGTTAAATGGGGCGGTTAATTAAATTGATATGTATTTGGTTTGTAAAATTTTGACTAAAAATAAAAATTCCATGTCTGCAAAAAATAATAAATTAGGCTGAGTGACTTTTTATGCAAAGAAGTCATAGTTGAGTGACTTTTGAGTTGAAAATGAAAGTTAAGTGACTTTATGTGAAAAGAGTTGATAGTTGAATGACCATATCAAAGCTATTAACTCCTCAATTAACAAAAGCCCAAACAGAAATATAAAAATATTGAACATAAGAACTAGGGATCAATAGACGCTAGAAGGGAGATGAGAAGCTTAGAATCTAGAAAGAGATGAGAGTAACAGACAACTTCTTTCGCAATATGCATAAACCCTTCTTTCCAACTCATTAGTCCGTTTAACCAAATGTTAATTGGGACGGGATCCCAAATAAAGCACTCCAACATTTTACTCGGCCCAATAATCCCAACTAAATAAGTCTCCACCAATTCTAGTCCATAGGCCCTTACATATCCAATTCAGTTCACAACAATACTCTTGCCCTCAATGAGAACCTTTCAAGGTTCTAGTAGAACAAAGTCAGCAATAACAGAATATCACTCTCATAAGATGAAACATACTTTTTCCATCAATTCCATTAGAAGGGTACTGTGATAACAATTCCATAACTAAGAGGCAACCACATATGCTTTGTTTTCTGTTTTCCAATCAATAGAGTTGACTGGATTGTTAGTTGTTTGGTCCAACTCCTTAAAGAATGCACCACCATAAAAGTATTGTGCAAATTCACCATGTGACAGATTCTTAGAGTAGTTGTAATTACTAGATTAGCTGATGATATTTCCTCATGAACAAGGAGAAGAGTAGTGTGCCAAGGAATAAACAAAGAACAAGTTCCAGCCATCCAAACAACAATCAAAGGGACAATTATTTTCACATCCATTGAATTTCTTGTTGGCAGGTCATTGCCTGCTCCAATATCGAAAATGCCTACTCCAATGATTAACACCACAACAACTTGAATGGAATATGTAGCGCAATCCCAAACCTATCGAGAAAACTAGCCAAGTTAAAACAAGGAAAGCCGATCTAGAGACAAGAGGCTTGGTAGTGTCCAGTCCTTCAGATTTGCAACGATGGAAGTACGCCAAGATTAGCACAATGCTAGCTGACCAAAAACTACAGAGATATTTGGCAACAGGGGAGAGGTCAAAATTATCCTTCCAAAGTAGGGGGTGCCAAGACTTGTGAAAACATTAACCTTGAGCAAACACGTCTCTATAATACACATGTCCATGTATCGAGCCTTATTTTCAGCATGCCATGTTAAAAGGAAAACAAGAACATTTCTTCTCCAAGTCAATCCAGTCACCTTTGATGTCAATGTTGTTAGGTAAAAGGAAAGGCTTTTTTCAACAATATAAAAGTGAGTATAATTTGATGAAAGAACAACTGCTAGTGCTGGATCATACTGCAAAATGGAGGAATTCATACATCAAGATTGTCCAGGATCCCACACTCTAGTCATAGAGGTTGAATAAGCAATTAAGCAACACCTGCCAAAACAACCCTGCAATTGTAATGCCTCCACGTTAACTATGTAAAAGATGTTATCAGTGTAACAACGTTGAATAGTTCGAAGAGTTTGGTGATAAAGTGAGGCACGTTGTCAGTCAGTTCTCTGCGGTGCAAGTTCTTCGCTGGCGAAATACGTCCATTGCATTACCAGGTAACTTAGCCAATATATCATAAGCAAGATAAGGACCCGGACCAAAGACGAGATACGACAAAGTTGGCTTTGATATATGAACTACACCAAATATAACAAACAAGAGCACATCATCTTTGCTGACAAGAATATCGGGAAACTGCTTCGAATATCGTGCATCAAATGTCTCAAGCAAACCCTGTATTTTCTCCGTCCTACCAAATTCTCTCGATTTAGACAACCAGATACCAGGAAGATATTGATCTTGTCCTTTACCAACCCAAGTGCAAGAATACCACAAGGTTTGACATAATTAACTTATTATGATCCAAGTTGTCTAAAGCGACACAAAATACATAGTTTCTTGTAACTCTAAGGACTGTGGTAAGTAAACGAGAGCCAGGATCAAATAGAAACGCTAATCCGAATTGATCAGGTGGAAACAAATGCAAAGTTAAGATAAGTGAAGCATGATCAAGTCTACTAAAGTGATCAATTATACCTCTGTTTATAAGTTGGACATATGTGCAAGTTGACAGCATTCCAGGCATCTCCTCCGAGCATAGGGCTATTTCAAGTCCAAGTTGCATATTAAACATGACAAGGTCATTGTACTCTCCCTTAACTGTAGAAACTGTTTGAAACATTTCATCAAACATATGGAATGCCAGATTTTCGGAATCATTTATCACTGGATGTTCGACTTTCATGACAATTTTCTTATTGGGCATTTCAGCGAACATCTTGCAAGCATAATTGATTAGGTCACCCTTTAAGTCATATTTGGACTCCAACATGGGACCCAAAGTCTCAATGGTATGAGTGACCTTTGAATTCTCTGTAGGGTTGGAGTTGTCCAAAGAAGAAACAAATTCCTGTTCAACGACCTCCTCTATGTCACACTTATTTGCCAAAGATACAGTCAAATCTAGATGTGCTAGAGCGTCATAAAATTTTTGGGAGCAAGCCGATAGAGTATTATGAATGTTATCCAGGTGACGATCTATTTGTAGCAATAGATCAGCTACGGGAGGCAATCCAAATTTCATAACAGTTTGTCTGTGGTAATGGTAAAACAATTTATCAGTGAAATGCTTCCAATCATAGAATTGCTTATTGCGATACAACCAATTAAACCAAGCGAGGGCCTCTCCGTCAAAGTAAATGTAAGGAAAAGATAACCACATACCCTTTGAGAAGCCATGAAAATTGAAATAACACTCTGCTTGATAAACCCATACTGATGGGTCAGAAACACCGCTGAAGCGATCCAGCACGAGCAATAAAAGCACCAATGTAATGAACTCAATTTGAATGTAACTCAACTATTATAATAAGACTAGAGTTCAATTACAAATCCGGAAACTAAATGCAACAACTCAATTAGCAAAAGCCCAAACAGAAATATAGAAATATTGAACGTAAGAACTAGGGATCAATAGACACTAGAAGGGAGATGAGAAGCTTAGAATCTAGAAAGATATGAGATGAGAGTAACAAACAACTTCTTTCACAATATGCATAATCCCTTCTTTTCAACTCATTTGCCCTTTTAACCAAATGCTAATTGGGCTGGGATCCCAAATAAAACACTCCAACATTTTACTCGGCCCAATAATCCCAACTAAATAAGTCTCCACCAATTCTAGTTCATAGGCCCTTACATATCCAACTCGATTCACAACACAGTCTAAAAAGTCTACCAAACAAAAAATTAAACAAGAGAAAATTGTGTGAAATAACAAACTATTAATTCAAATTAAATGTTATAGCCATAACGTTTGTAATTCGTAGCAAACATTCCATGTTTTTTGCCATCCTATTTGTATACCGAAATATACAAATGTAGGACCCATTTGTATACCAAAATATACAAATGCAGGACTCATTTGTATACCAAAATATACAAATAGACCCAAATACATGTTTTGTATGTTTATGTATACCGAAATATACAGATTAATAGTCATAACAAACTTTATGTTTGCTATGAAGCGCAATTATACAAACCATAGACATAACATACAAATATGATTTTTATGTTTGCTACACCTAAAATTTACTCATTAAATAATAACACAACTAATACATATGTTATTTTCTCCACGACATCCTACCAAACGACCCCTAAAGATTTAGCATGAAGAAAATAAATAGGAAAACCCCTGGATGCGTGACAGGAACAAATTACCAATATAAGTGATTGAACTCAAAAGCTTTGGCATATTCAAATTAATAATACTTTCTCTATTCACTTTTAATTGTCATGTTAAGTTAATTTGACTAATTTTTAAAATTAAATTAGATTACATTAATTCAATATTTAAAACAAAAAAATTAGATATTCAAAAACTATACGAAAAGTGCATATTAATATGATGAAAAAATAATCATAAATGTTAGTTAAGGTTATTAGTATTTGACTCTAAAAAGGAAACTATGACAATTAAAAGTAGACGGAGGTAGTAATTAATGATTTCCAAATAAAGCAACCTAACATTCTTGACCAATGTCATGTTAAGTGATGACTAAATTACCTGCTTATTGCAATTTGAATTCATATTTCTTTTTTCTGAAGTGCCACACAAGATAGGTGAAAATGGAACTAACTGGTACTTCTCAGAGATTATACGTACTAGCTAAAACAAAACCATATCTAGACATTAATCAGAGTAGGTTGGAAAAAACATCTGATATTTCAGTCCCATCTAGTTATCAGGGAACTTGATTGTTCAAAGGATTCGATCTAACATCGCATACATAGTCAACAAACTTCCTTTCGTTTCATACCGAGTTCCACAAGCATAGTTAAGAGAGCCTCACACATTTCACTAGCGTCCGCTTCATTTGGGTCCTTTCTCCATGACGAATAAACCATCCAAGCATGATCAAGCTTTATGTCTGGTTTTACAACCACTGACCCGGGAACTTCAGCATCACGACAGGTCACTAGACCATCACTCTTCTCTCCATACCTTAGTTGCAGGTGGAGAGCACAAAGAGCCAGTGCAGCAGAAACAGGAACTATGACAGGCACCTTGCACCCTGCTTGGATCACATTCTCCGACTCATTGTCACCAAATCCGGGCAAAGGCAGCCACGGAAGTTCTGCATGTGCTATATGGGACATTGTTGCTATTACATTCAGGGCTATGCTTGCTTCAGAATGGAAGGAGATGAGTGGAATATCATCAGGAAGCTTGTGGTTTTTTAAGAACTCCTTTCGCTTCTCGTATGTTAGATCCTCTAATGCCCGTATATCACCCTAATACAGAATAGTTCAACTTGGTCAATCAAAACAACACGCATATTCATAGACATGCGCCAAGGGATGTTTAAAATATTGAGTATACGCACCAACGAAACAAAGCTGAACAAAGTGAAAGAGAAATGTGAAACAGGTACACGATGGGTATATGTAGAACAGACATATGAAAGAGTGTATGGATCATTTATCATCACGACAAAAATTCACCCTATTAAGCAAATTTGTCTAGTAGTAGAAGAATCAGTAAGCCATCTCACAAATGCTTTTTAAAACGCAAGGGGGGTGAGGAACTTAAATATCACCAGGAGTACATTCTAAGTTTCTCAATGAGTAACACTTCCAATTAATACGTATACAACTTCCATTTCTTTATATTCTAGTCCTCCTTTATTATAAGAACCAGTCAACTTGGAAATAATTCTAAGTTGTAAATAATAGACATCTCGCATCCAGTATGTTCACTTAACTTGGAAATAAAGTGTGTTGACGATATCTGATAAAAATCTAAATGGCATGTTTCCGAAAGATGTTCATATTTTGTTTTTGATGTTATTAAGATCTAAGGGAAATTTAGGTGCTCAAAAACTTTTTAAATATGCATTAAAAGATAGTATTACCTTGTAGTACTACCAAATTTTAAGGTACAATATAAGAACACTAATGTTTGGCAAACTGGCGTAAATCCTAGTGCTAAAAAAAGCACTTAATTGGCTATGCATCACAACATGGAAAAGAGTTGGGACACTTCAGCATTATAGTTTTTAACTAACCCAAAATAGTTGTGGACCAAGGAATTACCTTAATTAACTTGCATAGTAAAAACTCCATGATCCTTCGTGTTTCCTTGTCAGCAATCTGTCCGTCACGAAGAATATCTGATGCAACAGGTATTCCACCATAAGGGCTCTGCACAAATGCCAGTCCTGCAACTTTATCCTTTAAATCATGCCAATATTTTGACAAAGCGGCGGCAGCATCAACCCCACCCTTACTGTGACCAAGCAGCATGACATGTTTTCCTGATCCCCAATGTAACTCCTCGATGCATTGCTTCAGTTCCCACGCATTTTGTTCCACGGATGCCTTCATTTGGTGATAAATGAACCAACAGTAACAGAAAAGCATAGTTGGGAGAACATTAATAAGAATTCCAGAGAGCAAGTTGATATGTTAGCAGACTAGACTTTGAAAATCTACTAGTACATACCTCACTATGTATCTTAGCAATATGGCAAGTTAACCCCATCTTCGAAAAAAACTTCTTAGTGCTCACAAAATATAAAGGGCCGTGATTGCTGAAAAACCCTGTTACAATTATGTCACCAAAAGAAAAGCTCTAAGAGAACGAATTCAGAACATATTGACAATCCAGTAAAAAGTATTGTTTTTTTTTTTAAAAAAAGATAGTGGAGTAACAAAAATGATTTAAACTGATCAAAATTGTTTCTCAACAATTTTATTAAGCATAAGAAGACTTTAAACAACCAAGTTGAACACATAATATACAAAAAAAAAAAAAAAAATCTCAACTAAACAACCTAGTAAAAATTTAAAATTCAAATTCATCTAATACCAAAGCAACTTATTACGCTAAAAATTACTGTAATAACTAGATGTAAAGTTGAACACTAATCCTTTGCTTTAATTATTGCTATTTAAAAGAATGTTCCTCAGTTTCTGTTTTAACAGTTAGTTCTTTTGATTATTTTTGAACTTGCACATTTTTTTTATATTGATCTTTCTTTTCTTCTGTTGGTTTTGTGCTTAAAAAATCCTCAATAATCTTGTCTAGTTCGAAAGCTCTTTTCAAAGTGCTTTAATCTAGACAATGATAGGATTTGCAAGGAGCTGTTACAAGGATTTTCTTCCATCACAACATCCATAAAACATAGGTTCCAAAATGCGATTTCATTTTCACTTAACTAAATCAGAAAGCTTTCGCCAATGAAAGCTTATGGGACGTTGAAAGAGACTTGTTGCTTGTCATGGCTGAAAAACGGATTCAAAATTGATATTGGTTGAAATAGCCTTGCGCGTTAAAATAAGTACGGGTTAGAAATAGCCATGTCGGTTAAAAATGGGTTGAAAATAGTTCTTTAGAAGAACTCATAGATCCCATAAGATCAATGAGGCTCTTGATACAAGAGTTGGTTTTTTTTTAAAAGATGGTGGAGCAACAAAAAGATTTAAAATGATTGGAATTGTTTCTCAATATTTTTATTAAGCATAAGAGGGTTTTAAATAGTCAACTTGAACACATATTGTGCAGAAAATCTGCAATTCAAAAGAGCTAAAATATCTCAACAACTTAAATAACCTAATACAACAACAACAACATATCCAGTGAAATCCCACTAGGTGGGGTCTGGGGAGGGTAGAGTGTACGCAGACCTTGCCACTACCTCGTAGAGGTAGAGAGGCTGTTTCCTAGAGACCCTCAGCTCAAGTACATCAAATCCAAGTAAAAGGCGAGGAAAACAGTGTATAAAACATAACATCCAATAAGAAAGATAGTATATAATCAACAAAGGAGACAGTAACATCAATAAAACAATGAGAGAAGTAAAACGCAGTAAACAACAAAAGGCTATAGGTATCACAGATAGGAATTGCAAGTGCAAGGCTAGGACTACTACAAACGCTAACAACCCATACCCTCGCATGGGAGGACAACACGCTAGTCCTACTAACCTTCAACCTTAATACGCGACCTCCACTCCTTCCTATTTAGAGTCATGTCTTTGGTAATGCGAAGCTGAGCCAAGTCCTATCTAATCACCTCTCCCTAATACTTCTTAGGCCTACCTCTACCCCTCCGCGTACCCTCTACAATCAGCCCCTCACACCTCCTCACTGGGGCGTCTGCGCACCATCTCTTCACATGTCCAAACCATCTCAGTCTCGCTTCCCTCAGCTTGTCCACCACAGAGGCCACTCCCACCTTCTCCCGGATAACTTCATTCCTAATTTTATCACTCCTAGTGTGCCCACACATCCATCTCAACATCCTCATCTCCGCAACATGCATTTTCTGGACATGTGAGTTCTTGACTGGCCAACACTCCGCTCCATACAACAAGGCCGGTCTAACTACCACTCTGTAAAACTTACCTTTAAGTCTAGGTGGAATTTTCTTATCACACAAGACTCCAGAGGCAAGCCTCCATTTCATCCAAGCAACCCCAATGCGATGTGTGACATCATCATCGATGTCGCCACTTCCTTGGATTACAGACCCAAGATACTTAAAACTTTCTTTCTTAGGAATGATCTATGTGGCAAGTCTCACATCCACATCTGCCTCATCCAACGCACACTGAGTTTGCACCCCAAATATTCTGTTTTGGTCCTACTCAACCTGAACCCTTTGGACTCCAGCGTTTGTCTCCACACCTCCAACCTCGCATTAACTCTGTCCCGCATCTCATCAATCAGTACTATGTCATCCACAAATAACATACACCAAGGGACCCTCTCCTGAATAGACCGCGTCAACTCGTCCATCACCAAAGCAAATAGAAAAGGGCTAAGGACTGATCCTTGGTGCAACCCCATCTCAACTGGGAAATGTTCCGAGTCACCTCCAACTGTTCTAACCCGAGTCTTGGCCCCATCGTACATGTCCTTTATCGCCCTAATATAAATCATCGGGACACCTTTAGCCTCCAAGCACCTCCAGAGGACATTCCTCGGTACTTTGTCATAGGCCTTTTCAAGATCAGTGAACACCATATGTAGGTCTCTCTTCCTTTCTCTATATTTTTCTACCAGTCTTCGCATAAGATGAATGGCTTCGGTAGTCGACCGTCCCGGCATGAATCCAAACTGATTCTCAGAAATGGACACCCCTCTTCTCACCCTCATCTCCACCACTCTCTCCCAAATCTTCATAGTATGGCTTAACAATTTGATACCCCTGTAGTTGCTATAGTTCTGGATATCACCCTTGTTTTTATACAACGGAACCATTGTACTCCACCTCCATTCATCAGGCATCTTTGCTGTCTTAAAAATAACACTAAACAGCCCAGTCAACCACTTTATACCTGCCTTGTCCGTGCTCTTCCAAAAATCCATCAGAATCTCATCGGGTCCGGTCGCTCTTCCCCTACTCATCCTACTAATAGCACGTATAATCTCCTCGATCCTAAAACACCTGCAGTACCCAAAGTCCCGAAGTCTTTCAGAGTGCGCCAAATCACCCAACACAATGTATCCGCCCCTTTTTTCATTTAAAAGTCTGTGAAAGTATTTTCGCCATCTTTGCTTGATGGAGGTCTCATCCACCAATACTTTGCCTTCCTCATCCTTGATACACTTCACTTGGTCCAAGTCGCGAGCCTTCCTCTCACTTGCTTTTGCGAGCCTATACAATTTCTTCTCCCCACCATTGTCCCCCAGCTCGACATACAAGCGTTCGAAAGCTGTCGTCTTAGCCTTCGTAACTGCTAACTTAGCTTCTGTCTTTGTCATCTTATAAACTTTCTTAAGCGTCTGCTTCTCTTCCTCGTCTACGCACTCCACTAACTTTGTGTATGCAGCCTTCTTCGCTTCCACTTTGCCTTGGACTTCCCCATTCCACCACCAATCTCCTTTATGGCCTCCAAATTTACCCCTTGATACCCCCAACACCTTTGAAGCAACTTCTCTGATGCAACTAGCTGCTTTATTCCACATGGTGTCCGCATCCCCGCTACCACTCCAAGCCCCCATCCCACTCAACTTCTCACCCATCTCCCGAGAAAGGTCAGGGGTCAAGCCACCCCACTTAATCCTCGGTCGATCAGCTACAATCTTCGTCCTCCTATCCCTCCTAATTACCAGGTCCATCACCAAAAGCTTGTGTTGGGTAGTAAGATTTTCACTTGGGATAACCTTGCAGTCCTTAAAGAGGCCTCTATCACCCTTCCTAAGGAGTAAGTAATCTATCTGAGTCTTAGCTACCAAGCTACGAAAGGTAACCATGTGGTTCTCCTTCTTCGGAAAGCATGAGTTAGCAATCACCAACTCAAAAGCCTTAGCAAAATCCAGAAGCGAAGTTCCACCCCCATTTCTCTCCCCAAAACCAAAGCCTCCATGAACATCATCAAAGCCATTAGAAGTTGCCCCGATATGGCCATTAAAATCTCCACCAATGACAATTTTCTCGGTGATCGGTATACCTCTAACTACCTCATCCAAATCCTCATAAAAGAGCTTTTTGGCCTCCTCGCCCAAGCCCACTTGAGGTGCATAAGCACTAATAACACTCAAAGTACATCCTCCAACGACTAGCTTAATCAACATCAACCTATCATTGATCCTCCTAACCTCCACCACTTGCTCCCTCAAATCCCCGTCTACTAAAATACCCACTCCATTTCTATCCCTAGAGCCTCCTGAGTACCACAACTTAAACCCGTCGACATCCCGAGCTTTGGAACCTACCCATCTAGTCTCTTGGACACAAGCTATATTTATCTTTCTCTTCTTGAGAATTTTCACTAACTCTATGGACTTCCCCGTCAGCGAACCTATGTTCCAAGATCCTACCCTCAATTTATGGGAACCCGTAACCCATTTACCACTATTTTCCCTCGTCCTCGGCCTCAACCGAAGACATGACTCAAAACCACCATCAGATACCAAATCCACTAGAAAGATACTGAATCTAATGTAAAATCTACACAGGAGTACACTTCAAAACAATTCTGCAACAGGTGACTACTCTAAAAGACCAGATAGCAACAACTAAACTAAAAGATCAATTATAGTGTATTCTCCAAAAGACACGAAAGCACAACTATACTATATGCTGAAGCACTGATCTGAACTATGTGCTAAAAATGACTGGAGTAACTAAAATTAAATTTCAACAAAGTAGTATTCAGCAAGAGATTTATTAAACCTGGAATCAGTAGATAAACAAAAGAATCAGGCAGTGTGTGCTGTCCATTCCTAAAAAAGGAAGAAAAAGTCAAACGAAAAATTGTCGTTAATTGGCAGTTAGGCAGTTGCAATGAAATATTCAAATTAATGTGAAGACTGAACCAGAGACAGACATCTGAGGAACACTCACCATAATAGTAGGACTAAATTTCATTGATAAGTAGAGATAATCCTGTTGGGTTAACACGGTTGTATTGTGGCATAGGACTCCAAAAGAATGTTGACCAAAAACAGTCAAGAGAAATGAAGATCACTAAATTTCATTGATAAGTAGAGATAATCCTGTTCGGTTAACACAGTTGTATTGTGGCATAGGACTCCAAAAGAATGTTGACCAAAAACAGTCAAGAGAAATGAAGATCACTAAATTTCATTGATAAGTAGAGATAATCCTGTTGGGTTAACACAGTTGTATTGTGGCATAGGACTCCAAAAGAATGTTGACCAAAAACAGTCAAGAGAAATGAAGATAATTTTCATATGTTTTCACATATCCTTCAGTAACAAAAGCCACTTGCGAAGGAATCTAATGGTTGGACTATATATATACAATGGCTTCTATATATCCTCAGCTATATTGATTAAAACATGAATCTTTCAGGTTATATATGAAGAAAAATCTTAAGGAGGGCAACGTGATTTTCCATATTAGCAACTCGGAAGTAAACAAAAGCAAAGCATTCCCCCTAATATTAACAGGCAAAAAAGAAAATGCAGAATAAAATGTCCCGGTGCCTCCTTTATTTGTAGTTACTAAAGATTACTTCAGAGAAACCAAAAACTAATGGGCATAGAGTAATACAACTCAACGTTAAGACCTTTTGTTTTTTCTGTTACGATTTGAAACAAGAATGCTGTTTCAGGACTTGTCATATTTGCAAGAATTCATATTCAGACAAGTTTTGTTCGTAAACATTAAAGTACAAGGGTAATGATTCGTATTGCTGAAACGCAGATTTTTAAATTGCTGTGTACCATATTTCAAAACAACTTTGTCAATCTATAACATAGAGAATCAGCAAAATGAAAAGCACATAATATGGTTTGGTTGATCTCATTCAAATCAGTAGGAGTATCCTACTAACAAAGTCCATATCACGACTATCACTTTAAGAAGTTACAGATACCTTCTTTCGTCACTACACAGAGTAGCCAAAAAAAAAGTAGAAGAAAACACACATTCCGAGCAATATAAGTCATCAGTCCTGGAGTTCTAAGTTGGGCCAGTAACACAAAAAACTCAAAATTAACATGAAACATGGCAACAACCTTGAAAAGAATCTCATCAGCTGAACATAGAACCCTTTCATGATGGTTTAATAGTGTGCAGTTGGTGTGGTTTCATTTTCATGTTATTCAGCACCTATGTCAATTGATAAAAAAGAAAAAATGACCAAGAACTCACCACTGACAAGATATGTGCTCTTTATTTTGGGAGACTTATCTGGCTTTGTTTCTATTTTCGAAGTGACTAGTAAGATCCATCATCTTACCTAATATCTTGTAGTAGTTCTCTAAATCTAGCTGAACCATCAACAACAGGAGCCATTTCAGTAGCTTGTTGCAACCACCCAATGTCATCAGAAGACCCACGCAAGGTTGTATGTACACGGGATATAACACTGAAGAGATTAGTGAAGAGTAAGTAATAGGAAACTAAAAGTAAAGGTGCTGAATGTCAAATGGAAGAAATGATCTAAAATACTCATCAAACTTCAAATATTTATCATTTACCGACAGTCAGGAAGTGATTACTAACCTCTGAACTTGAACTAGAGCACATCTGATATGAGATATGAAACACCTCCAAGAGGCCAACGAAAGTTTCCAAGTGAATCTCAGACCATATACTGGAAGCATCAACCTACAACCAGATCAACCAACTGCAGAATAAATTAGGACAGTCATGACTATGTAATGGCGGAAAGAGATATATGCTACTAGAAAATAAAACCAAGATAAGTTGAATTCTTATGTTCAGAGTTCTAATTCTGGTTCTGAAAATCAAGGAATCCATAGATATCCTGCACAATGACCTCGAAGGAGGATGGGAAAAGCATACAAATGAAAAGTTTACCCTTCAAAAATGAGTCTGAAACCTCCATAACTTTGATTACTTCTTACAATTTCTAATAATGAATTTACAGGCAAGTTATCATTGACATAGGAGGATCGTCTTGCGTGAATTCTAAAGCTTGTTCCTGTGTCAGATACTCTTGAAGGAAATGAACAAGCCTCAGGAACAGTTCTACAACCCCCGTCACTGGTAAAGTTTACAAGCAGACCACCAAAGTCAACTAAATATTCTGACCACCCAAGGATATCTCTGCAGATAAGATCCTCTGCAATAGAATCAAACCTTTATCACATAGGAAGCCATAGACAGCGAATATAAAACAATAGATGTTCAAGGACTTTATATTTTGCACATGCATAGTTTTTTAGAGAACTCACCAATAAATTGAACAAATTGCTGGGCAATATAAGAGCTCAAGCTTGCAAGATGTAAAAAGGGATCCTCCATGTTGCATCAGAAGAGAACTTAATCAAGATCTTTCTGTTTATGAATTACAATGATCAAGTACAGACGAAACCTGCAAAGGACCACCAAATCAGATCAGGAATTCAAGCAGCAGAAGAAAAGATCAAATATTTCCAGATGTCACAACTCTCAAAATTAGAGAGGAAGATAAGAAATCTCAAACTCAGAAACATTCATCATAACAGCTCTCTCTTTATATGTCTCAGGCAACGTGTTGTCGCAATAAACAGCATAAAACCTCAGTTGTGATCAATAGATATGAACACTGATGTAAGTCAAAGATGACATTAAGTAATGAGTACAACGCACTACACACATACTTCTCAGGGAACGCCGATGATTTCTCTATAGATATACTAACCCCCCATACTACATTCAACCCAAATAGATCAGGCTATATAAACCTCTTTTAAAATTACAACAGAAATGAATTCAACATATCCGAGGGAAGATAGGTTCATTTTAACACAAGAATGGTCATGAATAGAACATGCGTAGTCCTACATGCTGAGGAAAGGTATACTACTATTTCTTTAACCTCAACACTCATCAGTTCAATCACACGGACTCGGGTACGGGTGTCATCTGTCATGATCTAAATTATACGATTCGGGAGTACAGATCTAGGTATGGATACGGGTGCTGGATTCGGCTAAAATAATTCAAATGTCCAAAAATACATTTTATAGAAATATGTCCTAAATTATGGTAGATTATGTGGAAGGAAAGGAATGCACAAATTTAATAAGGCAAATTTGAATCTATTAAGTAGAAATGCATCTCCTTACTAGAGTATTCTTTTGGCATAACATGGCTATTTAAATGATAACCTGTTCATTACACATTCAACAGTACTGGTTGCGGAGTTTCATAAATCATTGCATCTGTCTTTAAATTCTCTATCAATGTTGATAAAAATACACAAAATCGATTGACCACACCCACACCTATGTGGTGTCGACACAGGTACTGCACCAAAAGTGAAGAGTCCACGCAACTTAGGTTCAAACGCTAATATTTAACAGCAAAACTAAGAAACAGAAGGACACCAAACAGTGACTAGTATGTAAATAGGAGAAATTGAAATGCATGCAATCAAATTACACAACAAGCAAGAGACTAACTTACATACATACGGTGTGATATGAGAATCAAAGGCCAACATTGAAAGAGTGCACAAACCCAAAAGCATCCTATTGTTTAGCCCCATAAATATAGCCAAAATCTACATCTATCTCAATTCCCAATAACTAAAGCATAAATTTACCAAAAATATAATATAAAAATGATGTACTTATCACGATCTACTTGTGAATTTGATTGGAAAGAGAATGGAGAGTAGACGACCCAAGCTATCTTTATCGACAAGCTTCAACATAATGGCCCACTTTCACACCATAAACAAATGGGTTTTCTCTCCAGATTTCGAATTAAATTAACTGTAAAAATAAAAAAAAATAAAAAAAAAAAAGTGAAAAAAAGTGTGTGTGTTTAGGTAATTTGGGACAGCGTGAGGATCTAAGAGGACACGTGTCGAGTGTTGAGGAAGTCATGTCAACTTTGATTGCTTTGTGAGAGAGGAAAGTACAGATGGGAGATTCTTCATTACAAATTCAATTTAATGATCTCCATCAATTTAGAGCTCTTCTACAACACACTCTTCTCACGGTCAAAACACATTGGGAAACTATCCATGGATCGCCCACCAAAATGCTCAATAAATTCTACTCTTATTTATGTGATGGCATTCTTACTAAAATAAAATAAAATATATGTTTCTTAATATTTTTTATTTTATAAAATTAATATTTTTTTATTTCTTTTTAATTATCATAGTTATTTTTGTAACGATATAAATTTTAATTATTATTGGAATTTTCTTCATCATATTAATATGAAATTATTTTGAAATTTATACTACTTTTTGTATAGTTTTTGATTATTCAAATTTTTACTTTAAAATATCAAATCAATGTGATCTAATTAAGCTTTAAAATTTAGTCAAATGGATTTTCGAAAATGTATGACAACTAAAAAGGAACGAAAGGAGTTCATAAATGACATTATTCTTGTTATTATACCTTTGATAGTTATTAGACTTGAAAATATGAATTTGACAAACATAAGAAAACTAATGATTAATTCATGTTCATTGATCAATTTAATTAATTAAAATAAATTAATTCATATTTATATTCATATATTGAAAAGTTGACTTCAATAGAACACTAGATTAGGGTATAAATGATAAACTTGTCAAGTTTCTTAATGGATATGAAATTTAAAATGGTGATAACTAAATAAAAAAGGAGAGAGTATAATAAGAGACACGTCTCAACATAAGAAAAATAGAATCTATCTATATCATCATCATCATCATACTATATAAGAGGGAGTTTCTCAAAAAGGTAATTTTTCCTTCTCCCATCCTTCTTTCTTTCTCGCGTATTTCCACATCCATGGAAAATGATCCACGTGTTGCATTTCTGTCTGTCTTCCACAATTTGTATTTTTTTCTGTCTGTCTTCCACATTTGTATATTTTTCTGACATTTGTTATTCTAAAAAAGATTCCTTTATGTTCCACGGAAAACAAGAGACTCGTTTTGTGCCCAAATTTGGAGACGACCGTTTCATTCCAATTCCTCAAAGATCCGCTCCTACTAACAAAAAGGTACACCACACCTCCTTTATTTTTCATTTGTTATTTTTCTGAATTTTCCTTTAATTTCAATCGGAATATTTTCTTTTCAGATCTATCAAAAAATTCTTACTGGCCTGCCTGGTGATGTCTTCATTTGCTTGGTTTATGTATTGTTCAATTTCTTTTTCGTTTAAACTTAATGTTTAATTTGTTGAATCCAGAAAGATCCCTTGAACTTTTATTTCCTTTGTTTACTCGGTTTGCTAGCTAGCTTCTTCATTTTAATATTTCTCAATCTTTTAATTCTTATAGCATGATAGAATTAGTTGTTTTGATATGTCAAGAGCTTGTTCTCTAGCTCTTGGTGTTTATAAAATTTCTTCAATAAAATATATATTATGCTACACTTCATTCTTCTTCTTTACATCTATAGTTCCTCAAAATATAATTTAAAAAGTGAATAAGTTATGTAGTTCCGACTTGTGAGAATCTACCAAGCCGTTTTATGACAGGCTTCAATCTAAAAAAAAATACTTTGAACCTGGGTATATTTAATTGATTTTGTTTATTACATTGTGGTACGTGGTTTTTTCCCACCATAATATTGCTTCAAATTTAAAAGTGGTTCCTCTTGAACCAACTCAAGTTGAACGGTTGGAAAGTTACATGGACTCTACCTTTGAATAATACTACAAGCAACATCATATTCTTAAAGTAATTATTGGTTGAATAAGATGTGCAACACCTCGAAAGTAGAAAAGTTGATTTGGAAAAAAAATGTTGCAGAAAAGTTGTTAGTGCAACTAGTTTATCACTACTAAAAAAACAGTGAATACCGACCTATAAATACCGACCTCCGGAGGTCAGTATTCCTTGAAATACCGACCTAAAATCGACATCCCAACTTAGGTCGGAAAAAGCTTGGTCGCTATTCAATACCGACCTCTGGAGGTCGGTATTTACTGACCTCTCGAGGTCAGTTTTTATTTTATGTCGGAAAATTCATATATTATTATTTCTGACTTCCTGAGGTCAGAATTGGAATACTGACATCCGGAGGTCGGTATTTTTATTTTTGTAATGTTGAAATTCTGACCTCTGGAGGTCGGTATTTTTATTTTTGTAATGTTGAAATTCTGACCTCCGGAGGTTGGTATTTTTATTTCTGTATTTTTAAAATTCCGACCTCCGGAGGTCGGTAATTTTATTTTTGTAATGTTGAAATTCCGACCTCCAGAGGTCGGTATTTTTATTTTTTTGTAATGTTGATATTCTGACCTTCGGAGGTCGGTATTTTTATTTCTGTATTTGTAAAATTCCGACCTCCGGAGATCGGTATTTTTATTTTTGTAATGTTGAAATTCCGACCTCCGGAGGTTGGTATTTTTATTTTTGTAATGTTGAAATTTCGACCTCCGGAGGTCAGTACTGTTATTTTTGTAATGTTGAAATTCCGACCTCCGGAGGTCAGTATTGTTATTTTTGTAATGTTGAAATTCCGACCTCCGGAGGTCGGTATTTTTATTTTTGTAATGTTGAAATTCCGACCTCCGGAGGTCAGTATTTTTATTTTTGTAATGTTGAAATTTCGACCTTCGGAGGTCGGTATTTTTATTTTTGTAATGTTGAAATTCCGACATCCGGAGGTCGGTATTTTTATTTTTGTAATGTTGAAATTCCGACCTCCGGAGGTCGATATTTTTATTTTTTTATTTTTGAAATTCTAACCTCCGGAGATCGGTCTTCTGCTACAAAACAGGCAGCAAATTGTTGCAATTTTTAGTTGCCCACCTGCATATTTATGCCAAATAAACTTCATCCAACCAAAACAACACAATATTTTCAACATGTACATTAAAGTATTTCAAAATAAACTTCATCCAACTTCAAAATAAACTAAAATACGATCAAATTAAACAATTCCAAAAATATAGAAGTCTAAAATGTCAAATAGATACAACTACTCCTAATTACTCTCACTTTCCTTGTCAGATGTATCATTCTCATCACTCTCACTCTCCTTGTCGGACGTAAGCTGAAATACGAGTTCATTGACAGTAGAGTAAACAAAAAATAATCAATCAATTAAAACATAAATAGATAAATGAAAGATAAAATATAATTAAATCATACTTGTATCCTAATGGCTCGATGACGAGTCTCCGAAAATTGTCTTTATCGCCTGGCTGAGGACCATGTGCATTTGAGTGCTGGGTGGTGGGAGTATTAGGCTCCGAGCCATTGGATTCAAGATGAAGATTGGAAAATCCAATTGATCCACTACTAGTATTCAAAGTATTGCACTGACTAGCACTAGATGATGGTATGGTAGACCACGACCAAGATGTGAATAGCCTGCAAAGTTTGGTACCCCGAACTAGGTACCACAGTGGGTGTAGATATAGTATAACCAGATTGTGGAGCCACATGAGTAGAGGC